CCTTTGTTTTTTTTTTTTGTAGTGAACTTTCCAAGCACAACTGGCTCCTCTAATTGTTGTCCTGCATCCAGTTAGTGTTAGGACCTAATGTCACCTTCAATCCTTCTTGCCACGAAGGCTTTGGGCAAGGTCTCTCGGGATCCATGTCCAGAGGCTCCAACTTCTTCCTGAATAAAATGATCACACAGTCCATGATTCTCATGATGAGATGCGGTGGTTTTCCCAATTTCTTGACTGTGGCAATGTCAGTTGGTCTGATGGTCTGCAAAGAGAATGCAATAAAATTCATGAACAGATAGAAAGTCAAAGGAAAGAGAATCTATGCTACCATATTAATTGATTAGCACACATAATTCCTTTGCATTAATGTTTCTAAAATAAAATGTCTACTATAAAGTAAACCTTTTCCCATGTTCTGCAGATTTCAAATAAATCAAATAACTTTTTTTAGATGGTGCCATTAAATGCTACAGAATAACTAACAGCTGATTATAGTTAGATCTACATGAATTCAGTGTATGAAACTAAATACTGATTGGGCTTGCCCCATAGTGGAAATATCATGGTGGAAATAGTACATCACATGTGTCAAACTCAAAGCCCGGGGCTACATCTGGCCCGCCGTACAATTGTATCAGGCCCGTGAGGTCTTGACCGGCATACAATTATATCCAAGTCAATGCTAAGGTGTTTCCCAATACATACTTTGCTAAAAAACGTAGCTTATTTCGCGTCGAGTTCACATGGCATTTTAGTGACTTTGAAGCACAGAAATTTAATTTCAAGCTGTTTTTTAACCCAGTTTTCACAGACGTGAAAACTGCACCTGTAAATATGCAGATGAAGCTAATAGAGGTGCCGTTTAATGGGACACTAGAGGTAAAGTACGACACAGTTGGGCCTGCACAGTTCCCTAGTTTCATTCATGAAGATGCCCCAGTTTCATCTATATGCGGGTTGAACCTTGAAATCACTTACACGGGGGTGGGGTGTAGGGGGTGGGGCGTAAAGGGCGCATTCCGTGGGTGGCATTATTTTTTCTATATATTAATGGATGGAATTTTTGGTGAAACGTATCATTTTATTCTTTGGGTAGGAAGGTCGGTAATGTTATTGCCCCACCCAGGGCGCCATCAATCCTCGCTATGCCATCGCATGTCATTCAGGGATATTCAGCCCACGTCACAACAAGGTAATGTTATGTTTCATTGGATATCATTCATACATATCAACAAGAACATTTCAACAGCCCAACCTTGAGTGCATTTTCTGCAGCCAGAAGGGCAGGCTTGGCAGCTTCAAGTTTGGACTCGGCTATAAGTTTATCAACAGCTATAGAGTCAACGATGGTCTGGGCCCTGTCCTTGACACGTTGCACAGAGGCCTTGACCTTTTCTGCAGCCTCTGCCATCACCTTGACCTCCAAGACAACCTGAGGAAGCAGGCAGTGTAACAAAGATCACATTTCAGCCATCACAGTGTAACACAGATTACATCCTAGCCATCACAGTGTAACAATGGTTACATCCGAGCCATTACAGTGTAACAATGGTTACATCTGAGCCATCACAGTGTAACAATGGTTACATCTGAGCCATCTGTGGGTGAGGGTAGTGGGTGCCTTGCTTTTACAAATTATAAATAATGTAAGGAAGGGAAAAAGTTGTTACACCAAATGATAAATTAAATTCCATAAATGTCAATTTAAAAAAATATTTAAAAAAACAGATCAGCGAGGAGGTGCACTAGAAATGAAGTATTCACCTAACAGAAGGCCACAATAAAGGTTGTTGATCTAGGCCTTAAATAAATTACCTTGTCTGCTACTACATTAGCTGTTTCCAGGTCCTTTTCCTTGACAGCCAGTTCTCTGCTCAAGCTGTCCACACTTTCTGCAGCTTCTGCCAGTTTCTCAAGTCCAACATTCATCTTCCTCTCAAGCTCTTGCAAATTCTCCACCTGGAGAGAGAGAACAGACAAATATTTCCCCTAGAGAGAGACAACAGGCAAATACTTCAACTGGAGAGAGAATAGACAAATACTTCAACTGGAGAGAGAACAGACAAATATTTCCCCTAGAGAGAGACAACAGAAAAATATTTCACCTGGAGAGAGAGAACAGACAAATATTTCAACTGGAGAGAGAGAACAGGCAAATACTTCAACTGGAGAGAGAATAGACAAATACTTCAACTGGAGAGAGAATAGACAAATACTTCACAGAGAGAGAGAGAGAGAGAGAGAGAGAGAGAGCAGACAAATACTTCACCTTAGAGGGAGAACAATATGAACCCTACACTATAACAATGAACCCAGGTTCTATTCTAACCCTTCCTCTCCCACCCTTGTATCTTATAATTTAAAAGTCATGGAAAAACACAGTAACAGCACATCAATTGAACAACACAGTAATGGCACATCAGTGGAACAACACAGTAACAGCACATCAATGGAACAATACAGTAATGGCACATCAATGGAACAACACAGTAATGGCAAATCAATGGAACAACACAGTTATGGCACATCAGTGGAACAACACAGTAATAGCACATCAGTGGAACAACACAGTAACAGCACATCAATGGAACTACACAGTAATGGCACATCAATGGAATCTAATGTTTCAGTCAACAGTTTTAAAACTAACATCTTGTCATTTACTGAGTTTGTTTATTCATCAATAACATTCATAAGTGAATTGAAATGACATCAAAATTAACTGCAGTTTAATGAGCCAACTTGAAAGCCAGACAGAGCAATGCTAATTTTTCACAATAATCTTAAACTTGTTTAGCGATGTACTTACTTTTTCTTTATAAAGTGATTTGTAGCCGTCAATGAAAGAAAGGAATGATTTTGGGGTCACATTGGCTTGACGACGAAATCTGAACAACAGTAAGTGAGAAGTGGCATTAAAGGAAATGTCCCATTAAATGAAATGTCCCATTAAATGAAATGTCCCATTAAATGAAATGTCACATTGAATGAAAATTAAATGTTCCATTAAATGAAATGTCCCATTAAATGAAATGTCACATTGAATGAAATGTCCCATTAAATGAAATGTCACATTGAATGAAATGTTCCATTAAATGAAATGTCCCATTGAATGAAATGTCCCATTAAATGAAATATCCCATTGAATGAAATGTCACATTGAATGAAATGTCCCATTAAATGAAATGTCCCATTGAATGAAATGTCCCATTAAATGAAATGTCCCATTAAATGAAATGTCCCATTAAATGAAATGTCACATTAAAGGAAATGTCCCATTAAATGAAATGTCACATTGAATGAAGTGTCCCATTAAATGAAATTTCACATTAAATGATATGTGACATTAAATGAAATGTCCCATTAAATGAAACTTCACATTAAATGAAATGTGACATTAAATGAAATGTCACATTAAAGGACAATGCACATTTAATGAAATGTCACAATAAATGAAGTGACACATTAAATGACATGTCATGTTAAACAAAATGTCACATTAAATGAAATGTCACTGAATGTAGGTCAAGTACCCTTTCAAATCAATCCTTAGAAAACATACTCACAGAATTAAGAGTTAGCTTTATGTGTCATCAAGTAACATTGCTCAAGCACAAACCTTTTATGCTCAGATCACACCATTGTTCAAATTTTGGACGCACTATTTTGTGTTACTACATAAGGCATTCCAAAAAAAGAAATCTGACAATAATTTTTCGAAAATTTGATGAAAATTTTGATAGTGTGAACTGAGCATAATAAAGCTGTGAGATTTTAGTTGTAAACTTGGACTGGTGTTTATCACAAACCAATTACTGTCACAAACCTCTGGAAATATTCCACACAGATCTCAGCCACCCCATCATGTATGACCGCCATCACGTCAATGACATTATTCTTCACCTCATCCTCAGCCTCCATTTGATACGGTTCCAGGAAATATCTCGAGACGGCCACGAGGGCGTCATTGGGCCATTTGCTGAACCAGTCCATGGTGCAGCCGCTGATGAGGCCGGGGAATTTCAGTGCACGCATACGAAACTTGTTCCCCACCTTATAAAGCAAAATAATCGGAAGGAAAATAAAATTGGCTTTTGTTAAAATGAATGAAATCTTCATACATATCTTCATTTGGTTAAGCTATAATAAAGTTGATCCCCACATGTTAATAAACATAATAATCTGACAACTAGATAACAATATGAACACTACACCATAACAATGATCCCCACCATGATAACAATATGAAAACTACATCATAGCAATGAACCTCACCATGATAAAAATATGAACCTTATACCATAACAATGATCCCCCACCATGATAACAATGTGACACCTGCACAATGAAAATTTGACTCCTGTAGCAATGTAGTTCTAAGATGATTGAGATTTTAAGTGACACATTCTTAATCATAGACTGACCCTATGCCAACAGTTAATGTGTAACTATGCCATGATGAGGGGCTGAACATAATGGTTAGACCCTGTGCCAACAGTTAATGTGTAACTATGCCATGATGAGGGGCTGAACATAATGGTTAGACCCTGTGCCAACAGATAATGTGTAACTATGACATTAGGGGCTGAACATAATGGTTAGACCCTGTGTCAACAGTGTGAGATGTATTTGTATCCTTTCTAAATATTTTGTTTCCAAATTATTTCCTATGTACAAGATTTTTCACTCAAGATTACTAACACATATTTGTACAAATGGATGCCACTGTTCATATCATAAATGAGATTGTACTGATAATTTCATGAATGAGATTGTATTTTTAATATCATGAATCAAATTGTACTGTTAATATCATGTATGTGATTGTACTGTTGATATCAGATATCAGGAATGAGATTGTACTGGTACTATTATGAATGAGATTGTACTGGTACTATTATGAATGAGATTGTACTGGTACTATTATGAATGAGATTGTACTAGTACTATTATAAATGAAATTCTACTGGTACTTACAGGTGAAAAACAAAGGACAATATGAAGATTAGCACGGGCTCTGGATATGAAATAATCGTACAGAGCTTCTTGGGTGGGAGGACGTCTAGGGAACTCCTTCTTCATAATGGGAACCAACTCACCACACAATTCCAAGATCTCATCTTTGGCAAATAAGTTTGATATCTAGAACAGAATAACATTTTAACCTATAATTTTGATATCTAGAACAGAATTCATTTTAACCTATAATTTTGATATCTAGAATATAATTCATTTCAACCTATAATTTTGATATCTAGAATAGAATTCATTTTAACCTATAATTTTGATTTCTAGAACAGAATTCATTTTAACTAATAAGTTTGATATCTAGAACAGAATTCATTTTAACTAATAAGTTTGATATTTAGAACAGAATTCATTTTAACTTATAAGTTTGATATGTAAAACAGAATTCATTTTAACTTAAAAGTTTGATATCTAGAACAAAATTCATTTTAACTTTTAAGTTTGATATCTAGAACAGAATTCATTTTAACTAATATGTTTGATATTTAGAACCAAATTCATTTTAACTTATAAGTTTGATATGTAGAACAGAATTCATTTTAACTTATAAGTTTGATATCTAGAACAAAATTCATTTTAACTTTTAAGTTTGATATCTAGAACAGAATTCATTTTAACTTATAAGTTTGATATCTAGAACAGAATTCATCTTAAGCAAATAAGTTTGATATCTAGAACAGAATTCCTCTTTAGAAAATAACTTTGGTCTCTAAAACAGATTTCATCTTTAGCATATAAGTTTGATAGCTAAGTTCATTTTTGAGCAAATATTTTAAAATCTTGTTTCAATATTTCTTTATTTTAAGAAATGTATTCTTCAAAAATAGTTTCATAATACTATAAAATAGTGATGTTTATGTTCATTCAATTCAGAATATTTGAAATTTGTAGAAATTTTCAAAATCAAATCAGATGAAAAATATCTCAAAATCTCAGAATTTTATACATGAGTATTAAAATTTTATTTAAAAATTCATAAATTAAGTTTTTTAGGTCTGTAGTTAAAAAATTAAATACCTCTTACCTTTAATGAAAAATGCCATTAGAAAAAGATTTAATTATAAAATTTATTTTTAAAATAGATATGTGACACAGTGACTTCGTCTTTTTCTTTTAGGTTGAAAAAACATATTTTATGTTTACCTCCCCTGAGCTGAGGATGTTGTTGATGTATTCCAGGTAACTCTCTTCTTTGATCTCATTGTCGGTAAAGATGAATGTGATGCCATTGCCCTTTAATCCTGCCACATTATACAGGTGCTTCAGATCTTCCAATAAATTATTGTTGGAATATGACCTGAATGCCAGGAAACAAAGCCATACAATATGAATAAGACTTTTTAAAGTCTAACACATGTAAGCTAGAATTTCAGTTTTAAGTATAAAATATGTGAGCTGGAATGTGTGGAGAATAAATTTAGAATTTCAAGTTTTAGCTGACAGGAATAAGTTCTAGCAAAGATAAAATATCTTACAGAGTATTTGGACATGTTTGGAGTTGTGATATTGGTTGGAGTTGATCCAAAAAAAAGCAAAAAAAACTAGCACATATTAAACTAGGCCATAAAGTAAACTAGGCCATAAAGTAAACTAGGCCATAAAGTAAACTAAGCCATAAAGTAAACTAGGCCATAAAGTAAACTAGGCCATAAAGTAAACTAAACCATAAAGTAAACTAGGCCATAATGTAAACTAAACCATAAAGTAAACCAGGCCATAAAGTAAACTAGGCCATAAAGTAAACTAGGCCAAAAGTAAACTAGGCCATAAAGTAAACTAGGCCATAAAGTAAACTAGGCCATAAAGTAAACTAGGCCATAAAGTAAACTAGGTCATAAAGTAAACTAAGCCATAAAGTAAACTAAAAGAAAAACAAACCAAAAAGAAAACTAGGCAATAAAGTAAACTAGACAAAAAGTAAACTAGGCCATAAAGTAAACTAGGCCATAAAGTAAACTAGGCCATAAAGTAAACTAGGCCATAAAGTAAACTAGGTCATAAAGTAAACTAAGCCATAAAGTAAACTAGGACATAAAGTAAACTAGGCCATAAACTAAACTAGGCCATAAAGTAAACTAGGCCATAAAGTAAACTAGGCCATAAAGTAAACTAGGCCATAAAGTAAACTAGGCCATAAAGTAAACTAGGCCATAAAGTAATCTAGGCCATAAAGTAAACTAGGCCATAAAGTAAACTAGGCCATAAAGTAAACTAGGCCATAAAGTAAACTAAACCATAAAGTAAACTAGGCTATTAAGTAAACTAGGCTACTATAAAGTAAACTGGAAAAAACAGTTCTCTCAAACAGAGAGCACACACCTAGTGATAACTATTTGAAACATATCGTAACCAGCAATGAATGATGCCAGCTTGGTCACAGATTGCTTTCCAGAACCACCAACTCCAACAAGCAAGGCGGCACCTCGGGGTGTTCGTATAATCCGGGATATCTGATCAGAGTCAGGAAATTCTTTGACGTTATGATAAATTTAAATGATGTCAGCCATGGTGATTTAACTAACACAGATCCTATTATAGAAGCCTTTGCACAAAAGGGAACCTAATGGCAAATGAATGATGGATTTGTGTTATGGTCAACAAATGGTGAATCTTAATTTTATTATTATCTACATCAGACTCCTGTCAGCTTTATATTTTAGCTCTATGAAAATAAATACTTTTCACAACAAATTTCCCTTTCAAGAAAGTAAGTTATTATTTTCTTACAAAAATTGTTTATATTTAATTTGCATTGTTCCATTTCTTTTTACTAAAGGACATTGACAGGTTTACAACTCAAAAAAAAACAACTATACTTAAATCCACATTTTAATGACTTTTTCTTCTGTTACAGATGGCACTTTCACATTCATAAACATGTATGTTGGCTCATGTGGGATGCCATGTATGTTGGCTCATGTGAGATGCCATGTATGTTGGCTCATGTGGGATGCCATGTATGTTGGCTCATGTGAGATGCCATGTATGTTGGCTCATGTGAGATGCCATGTATGTTGGCTCATGTGAGATGTCATGTATTTTGGCTCAGGTGAGATGCCTAATGTTGGCTCATGTAAAATGCCATGTATATTGGCTCATGTGAGGTGCCATGTATGTTGGCTCATGTGAGATGCCATGTATTTTGGCTCATGTGAGATGTCATGTATTTGGCTCATGTGAGATGCCATGTATGTTGGCTCATGTAAGATGCCATGCATATTGGCAGTTGTGAATGCTGTGTATGTTGGATCATGTGAGATGCCATGTATGTGTGCTCATTTGAGATGCTGTGGATGTTGGCTCATTTGAGATGCTGTGTATGTTGGCTCATGTGAGATGCCATGTATGTTGGCTCATGTGAGATGCCATGTATTTTGGCTCATGTGAGATGCCATGTATGTTGGTTCATGTGAGATGCCATGTATTTTGGCTCATGTGAGATGTCATGTATTTGGCTCATGTGAGATGCCATGTATTTTGGCTCATGTGAGATGCCATGTATTTTGGCTCATGTGAGATGTCATGTATTTTGGCTCATGTGAGATGCCATGTATGTGTGCTCATTAGAGATGCTGTGGATGTTGGCTCATTTGAGATGCCATGTATGTTGGCTCATGTGAGATGCTATGTATGTTGGCTCATTTGAGATGCCATGTATGTTGGCTCATGTGAAATGTGATGTATGTTGGCTCATGTGAGATGCAGTCTCAATAATTTTTTAAAAAACCGCTTCAAACTAAAATTGGTCAAAATGTTTCCATCCTAATAAAAGAAAAAGAAAAGACATTGTTGTGGAACTTAGTATTACCTTCATGAGATGTATCATTGCATCTGTGAAAAAAACCAGGTCCAGCGGAGCCCCCCTGACTTGATCGTTGTAGTCTTTCATAAAGTTTCTCAAGCGATCTCTGAGTATATCATAGCTTTCAACCTGTGGCACAATGGAAGTCACACTGAGTAGAGGTTTGTATGAATTTGACTGCAATCTGTGGCATAATAGAGGTCACACTGACTGGAGTTCTTTTAAAATATGACAGCAATACTCAATGCATGACAAACCTGGATGCGGGTAAGAGTTGGGGCTGCAAATGTCCATGCTAGGACAAGATTGGGTCTATTACTATAACTTTTTGTTACACTAGCAATCTTATGCAGTGGCCACACTGTCCCATTAACAATAACAACACCCTTGATATTTGTACAATAACAACACCACTGTTGAACTGTTGCATGAACAACAACACCAGTGTGTCACAAGCAACAACACCACTGTTCCTTAATCAACATCATCACACTTCTATGATCTATGATCTTCACCATTTCATACAGCTTGGGAGCCTCAATAACAGTACCCTCCCCTTTCACACTGCCTTCATCCTGCAATGCAGCTTCTTGGAGTGCCTCCTCATTGATGTCCCTCATGAAGTCCACGAAGTGGGGGCGAGGCAGCATGAGACCAGCGGTTTCTGGGTTTATCTCAGCTGCAATGACTGTATACAAGGTCTCCTGGAACCAGACTTTGTCTTCTTCATTCACAAACCTAGGAAGGATGGCCAGCAATATTTGACATCTGTCAGTAGGGAGCGCCAGGTTGATAAGACTGTCAGTCCATTTATAGATTTACAATCATATAATATTTCAGTAAACTTAACTTTTGAAAACTGTTTGAACTAAATGTGAGTTTAACTATATCAAAGAATTTGTAAGTTATTTTTTAATATTCATCATAATCAATTATAGACAGAGTTTAACAAGCAACTTATGTTTACATTTCTACCATAAATATGCTTACATTTAATTTCTTAATTAATTGTGTTAAATTATTGTATTGCATGAAGGGTCTGGAATCTCTATATCCTGTGATTAAAATCTGATTGAATGTCTCAAGTAAATAGAATAATTGAAAATAAAATTAAAATGTTTTATGCTGTGCACACTGCTTTAATTTTAATATTTGTAAGGTCAGTCGGTTTGAGCTAAAGTAATTTTAACATTTGTAAAGTCAGTCCTTTTAAATTAAAGTAATTTAATATTTGTAAATTCACTCCATTTGAATAGTAATTTTCATATTTTTAAAGTCAGTCCATTTGAATTTAAGTAATTTTAAAATGTGTAAAGTCAGTCCATTAGATTTAATATACTAACTTTAAAAAATTCAAATTCATTATCAAATACTAAAATTAAAATATTGATACAGTCATACATTTATATTTAAACTTTAATATGTCCAACTTTTTTATCATTTCATTTAATTATGACCACTTTATTTAATTTATGTCCACCTTTTTATCACTTCGTTTAATTATGTCCACCTTTTATATCACTTCATTCAAATATGATCACTTTTTATATGACTTCATTAGAGAATCTCAACAAAAGAAGAAGAGTTAGCTAACCTGTCTTCAATGACACGGCAGACCTCATGTTTCCACAGATTTATTGTTGTGCGAGCTGTCAGGCACTCTTCAGTTTGTATGTACAGCATTCCTTGCCAGATACGGGACAGATCTCTCAGATTAAAGATGTAATGGAATTTGGCTGGAGTGGGAAGCATTTTTATCTGATGCAGAATAAAATAAAATAAAAATATTTTTTAAAAATCAAGTTAGAGAATTGCAATGATATTGATGGTCAATTATTAACAAGATACTTCGTGTTAAGTAATAGGGTATTTGAACAGATTTTTAAAAAAACAGAAATGTTTGCTACACACATTTATATTTTAGATACTAAAATGTCACAAAGAGGAAGAGTTTCTTTGATAATCACAGCAAACAGGTAGCATTGGAGATTGGAGTTGGAGTTACAAACAAATTAATAATTAGAAGTCAAAGACAAAGTTTTATTAAATTTACTTTTTAAAATGCTAGAAAATATATCACTACAATATTTTGAAGTTATTAAATGAAATTTATAACAGTGAAAGCTTGTTTCAGCTCTACCTTGACTCTCTGCCACAATATACGCGTACAGGGGACAAGAAGCTTGATCAGTTCCACAACTGGTTCTTCAAAGCGCTCTGAACAAAAGTAACCAAGGCCAATGATACCTGTGGAGACACAAGGAGGCTGGTCAACTCTATCATCTTGTCCCTCCCAGCAAGTCTAGTCCATGTATCTCAGGCCCCCCCCCCACCCCACCACTTTCCAAAACAAGCTGACACTCACCAAATATTTTATCAATGGAATTATTGGATGGCAAGGTGCAGTTAAATATACAAAAATGTCTCTTGAGTCTTTCTGGGATGTCATTGCGACCCCCACCAGGATGTATCATGGCAGCCATAAAGCAGACATCCATGATGTCCAGAAAGTCTCCAGGTTTGTCCAGGCTGTACATTCCTTTCATCTCCATCATTTGTCTCGTGATTTCATTGGTCACCTGATAAAATGGAGGAATTTCATTTCTTTAAGGACTCTTAAGAGATGCACTAGACGAGCGGTCGGAAAATTGCGGCTCGTGAGCCCCATGCGGATTTTGGCCAAAATCAGTTTTAACTACGTAAAGCATTGTTCTTGACATGAAATTTGGCTCTCAAACATTTTTAATCGTCATTTTTGGCTCTTTTGACTTATGAGTTTTCCAACCACTGCACTAGAAAAATCATAAAATAAGAAAAAGCTGAACAACTCTGTGTCAATTGCCCAATGTTAATGACTGGTATGAATTTAGTTTAAAAAAATCAATTTCAGACAATTTTTCTTAACACAAAATTTTAAACAGGGAACATTTGAGAATTCATGATCAATTAAACAATTTTGGTGTCATTATCTTTCAAAACTCTGTACTACTTCGATACGCATTCAAGGATAGCAGTGAGGGAATCTGGTTACACACCAGAGCTGATGGAGGACTTTTCAACACTGCCCACCTCCGAGCCAAGACCAAAACGACAGATGTCCTAATTCGCGAGCTACTATTTGCGGATGATGCGGCACTAACAGCACACACAGAAATTGGTTTGCAACAACTCGTGTCAAGCTTCTCCAATGCCTGCAAAGAATTTGATCTGCAAATCAGCTTGAAAAAGACAAACATCATGGCCCAAGACACTCGACCTCCACCTAACATAAAAATCGATAATGAAAACTTGGAGGTTGTGGACAGCTTCACCTACTTGGGGTCCAAGGTCTCCAATACACTGTCCATTGAAGAAGAAATTAACAGCAGAATCGTCAAGGCAGCTGCCACAATGGCTAAACTAAATAAACGGGTCTGGCAAAACACCAAACTAACGGAGAAAACCAAACTGTGCGTCTATCGAGCTTGTGTCATCAGTACACTACTATACGGGAGCGAGACATGGACCACCTATACATCCCAAGAGCGCAAGCTTAATAGCTTCCATATGAGATGCCTGCGTCGCAACTTGGTATTAAATGGCAAGAAAAAGTGACTAATAGTGAGGTCCTAATGCGTGCGAATACCCAAAGCATGTTCACAATCCTTAGTGAAAGACGCCTGAGATGGCTAGGTCATGTTAAAAGAATGAGTCCCGGCCGCATTCCGAAAGACCTCCTATATGGTGAACTTGCTGCTGGAAAGAGGAAAACAGGTCGCCCACGTCTGCGATTTAAAGATGTCTGTCAAAGGGACATGAAAGCAGCCAAAATACATACAAGTGACTGGGAGTGTAAGGCAAAAGACAGATCTACGTGGCGCACAGTTGTCAAAGAGGGCATCATGGTAGCCGAGGAGCGAAGAATGGAAGAGGCTGAAGACAGAAGAGCTAGGAGAAAGGCCAAAACATTTGGAAGCACGGAACTTGTGTGTAAAAACTGTGGTAAAGACTGTCACTCAAGGATAGGACTGCACAGCCACTCGAGAAAATGCAACCCAACCCAACGGTGATGCACCATCGTCTCACGAGACGGAAGGATGCCGACAATCTTTCAAAAGTGCATTGCAGTGCTTGTTGACATTTTTTGTACAGTACCAATGACCCCTTTCCAGCCAGATGAAGGCCACATTAGCCAGCTAAGAACAAAACTTTAAAAAATGCATATAATATATATAGGAAATGCAGCTGACTGAGCCCCAATACCTTTTCACAGACACTCTAAAGGATTCATGGACCACACTTAAGAATGTGGATTTAAAATAATAATAATAAGAGGTCTTATATAGCGCGGTACCCCAGCCTAGGGCTGGGCTCACCGCGCTGTACATAAAAATTTTATCAAAAGAGACATAATCATGACATTAAAATAAAATAATCCAGAAAGTAATTGTTAAACTTATTACATTACTATCCCCTTTTTTCCAATTTCTGACACACATGCATGCACACACACCCACACATATACATACATAATGGCTTCCACAAGAACTTTTATCTCTTTATCAAGCCTATTAACCATCAACAAACATTGCACATAAGCATTGACGCAATACTGTGGTTACAGTTTTGTTTAATGTACCTGGTCCCCCCATTCATTGATGATGGGCATGTTGATGTCATCTATAAACACTGTCATGCTCTTACCACCAGGAGGGCCAAAACTCGTCCCGACACGCTTCTCTACAAAACTTTCGATTGTTCTCTGAAGCAAAAAGAAAGTGTATATTTTATTTTTTTCAAATTATTTTTAAATAGTATACAACAATCTCATTTTAAAAATAAGACCTGGCAGCATGTTTATTTAAAAAGTCTATCAGGTTATATTTAACTGCCAGTCAGTCAGTTTGAGAAGTGGGGCTGTCTTCACCCTCACTCTGACTCATCCCATGTTGAGTCATTTTAATGTCAACCTTAAAACACCAGTGTAAATAAAGGCAACATTTTTTGGTTTAACAACAAAATAATGTCACTGCCCTTTAATGGCCTCAACAACTATTTGCAACAGATACTGAAATAATGGATGTTTACAATATAACCAGGCAAATGAAAAGGTCCTTTATTACTGCAAGGCCAAGATGTCTACATGGTCACCTGGAACATCCCTGGGGTTGTGGCTGAGGAGAAGTTGAAACTTTTGCTGATCTTTTCATCGGCGTTGTATTTGGCCAGTATGGCCTGTATCATGACAGTTTTGGCTGTGCCTTGCTCACCAATCAGCAACACAGCCTAATGTTCAAAGTATAAAACAAGCTTCACAAAACTAAATGGAAAAAAAACCCCCAAAAAACGTATCCTACGTTATGGCCTTGTGATAAAAGGATGTGATGCACACATGTATACATTTGAAAGCTTAATTTTGAAAACTAATGCAGGGGACGTAGAAACTAATGCAGGGGACGTAGAAACTAATAAAATTAACAAAATAAAAACAGTTTGTTAGAAAAGTCATACAGCAAAATTAGAAAAATAATTAAACAGATTTAGAAGAAAAATGCAGGAGAAGCTAAATTTAAAAGAGAAAAGCAACATATTCTGAACAATTATAATACAAAATTTGAAGTTGGATCTTTGATAAATTCAGGACAAAAAGTTCATGAAAAATATCCAGACTTTTTAAAATATCAATATGCTTCAAAGCTGATTTGTATTGCACAAGATTGACCTAGATTAACTGAAATGAAACTCATTGCGTTACTGTCATACCAAGCAAGGTGGATACAGACATACCTTATTTTGCTTGCTTATGATCTGCATGAGGTAATCCGTACGCACATTGTCAACGTTGGGGACAAGTATGGAAGAAAAGACGGGCACAGAGTTGGATGGATAGATATATTCTTCTATTCTGTATCTCCAGTGAAGCCAGGTACCTGCAAGTGTTAGTACAAGTGAACCAGGTACAAGTGAACAAGGTACAAGTGAACAAGGTACAAGTGAACAAGGTACAAGTGAACAAGGTACAAGTGAACAAGGTACAAGTGAACAAGAAAAAGAACAAAAGAGTTTTTGAGACAAACTTTTGTAAAGTATTTTTTTTTAGATTTGCTTGAGTGCATGGCTTGAAAGGTAAACCGCACTGTTAAGTTCATTTCATGCTGGAGATTCCATTGCTTTCCCCACTAGGATTTTTGTTAACTTCAAACATTGTACACTATTTTTTGTTAACTTCAAACATTGTACACTATTTTTTGTTAACTTCAGACATTGTACATCAATAAAACATGGTCACCATGGCAATCAATGCTCAATTTGAAATTTTAAGTACACCAGATTTCCAAATAGGTTAACTGACCATTTGCCAGAGCTTGGTAGATTAAAATACTCTTTAGACTAGGGTGGGAGACCCTATTGTCAACCAAAAATTTTGGCCAATGGTCCTTTAAAGAGTGGCAAATGGGATTTTTCCCAAAAGAGAATTTTGTGAAAGTAAATAGTTTATGTACAATTTAACGATGAAATCAAAATGTTGTTGTTTAAAATACTGAGCATATGTCCATACTAAAGCTTATTTATTCATTTAGATTTACATATAAAGCTGCAAATTTAGCTTTCCTTGGCCACAAACACGGCTGTCTTCTAAAAAAGTTTGGCCACAGAGGCTGTGTACTAAGCAGTGGGTCAAATGTCAGCCCTCAAAGAAAGGGAACTCATTCAACTTGAAAGCAGACCTGTTTACCCTCAAACTCTTAAAATCGTACAATATCAATACAAAATCGTTCAATACATTATCTTTATAGAAAAACAATGAACATACAGTACATATTATGTATGCACCTCAAAATCATATATTGTACGTCAAAATTGTAAGAGTAAACAGGTCTGTGAACGACACCATAACTGCAATAAAGGCAGAGTTTTTCTACCTTGTGTCCAGTACACATCCAAAGCTACATATTATAATCAAGTAAAAAAAAAGAATTCTTGTATGACTAAATACTGTTTACTCATTTCAAGGTAAATACATGGAGGAGGGGGAAAAGAGGGGGGGGAGGACATAATGTATGCATGTTATTTGTTTTTCTCCTCAAATAGGCCAAGCTTTTCCTCTAGCTATTTCAAAACATTGAAATGTTGGTCATTCAAAAATTATAGCCTGTGGGGGAAAAAAATGAATGTTTTCAGATCGCTTACCTTCCTGACTGACCATAAACTCAAAAATTGTCTCATCTTGGACCAGCTTGGGAAAGTCCAGCTTGGCCCTGTGTTTGAGCAGGAACTCCTGCAGCTTGGCTCTGTCCTCCAGTTCCAGCAGGGCCCCATGGCTCCAAAGCAGGCAGTAAACAAACAGGCGCTCCATGTGCTTGTTGCTCATGTTTTTTCTCTCCTCCAGAGAATTTGGAATCAAGCCTTGGAGCAGGTCACACATCTCAACATGTCAAGTGGAGCAACGTTTTTTGGGGGAAAGTTTAAAGGAAACATACAATTATATTTTATTCATTTATTTACGTAATAAAACAAGTTCCTTTCACTTATTTCTCTGGTGGTCGTAATTATTGGAAAATGACAGAAAAAAACATCTCTTATTGAGGACTCATTTATATTTTCAACAACAACTCATTCTCTTGCTAAAGTCGCCAGTGTTAGCATTAAGTTATCTAAACTTAGTATACAATAAAGTGCTTTATGTTTTGCCCTTTTCCAGCTCCAAGTTAACTGAATTTGAAAACATATAAAAATTATAAAAGGGAAATAACATCAACATATTATTATTATTATTATTTTTTAAAAAAAACAGTGTTAGTACCTGTCTTATTTTATTACAGGACAAAAGATCCAGCTTAGATTCAGTATTGAGGATAACAAAATGCTCTGTATCATCATAAATGTGCTCAAACAGTGGCATGAGACTTGTTTTCTCATTGGCTGATCTCTTCTCAAGCCAGCCCTGTGTCAGACATAAACTTTGGCGCATGAGATAAGATAATAAGACAGTTTGAGTTAATAAGATAAGATGATAAGATAATACAATATTCTTTTATTTGATTCAAATAAATGGAAATGTGTTTTGATGACATTGCACATATTCACGCCAAAGGTGCAGAGGAACTTTCTAATTAAGATAATGATTTTGAAACTAGAGCTGGTTAAATCTGACAGTTTACATAGAAAAATTATTCCAGAAATTATTTATAATTTTTTTAAACAAAATACAGAAATTTTGAGAGATTGATGAAATGCGGGCAGGTGTTAAGATACAACTAACCGAGACAATTCTTAGAAGGACAACATTTTACTTGTTTGCCTTAAAAAAATTGTTAAAACGTTGACTTGCGTTAGAGGCAGCATGCATTATTGAGGAATGCATTATCCATTCTATAATGACTACTGCCAACTTTGTACAAAATTCAACAACATTCCTTTGGTTTTATATGTAGTTAAATTGTAAATGAAATATCAAAAACTTATTTATAGAGAAACAACATTTAAATGTTGTTTTTTTTCAGACGTGATGACCAAAACTGAAGTTGTGATGAGAACCACTGAAGAAGTGATGACCACCACTGAACTTGATAAGCCTGTAAGGGTCTGTGTATGTACAATTTGATATATTTTGTCTAAAAAATGACATTAAATAACTTGGAAAAGTTATCAAGAATCTCTTTTTTTTATCTTACAATTCTTTCTTGTAAATTACAGTTTTATTCATTCGACCCCTGACACAGATAAAGTACCTGGAGTATTGGTTGCCATGGCAACACGGAGCAGGACATGTAGATCATCCCATTTCGTGAGACGGTCGCCGGCGAGGCGTTGTCTATGTTGTGAACTTCAAAAATGATTTTACAGGTCGGTGACATTGGGATGCGGTCGCCATTAGCCAGGGTCAGGGTTTTATTGTCATCCAACACGGAGTTGAGGTTTTCAATCCACACGGCGTCCACTGGGCCATCAAGGATCAACCACACATGGGAACCTAGGTGACACAACTGACACTGACAGTGGCTTGCCATGAAAGTAAGAAATCGTACCCATGCTTGTGGCTCCTATCTTAACATAAGATCAGGGGAGGGTTGGTACAATTTCTTGAAACACCAAAGGTCAGGGGTCATTAGGCACGGAGCTAATTCTCACTGCTTTGAGAAATTATAATGTGATTTAAATATATATTTGTACAGTCAATACTTTGAAAAATTATAATGTGGTTAAATATATTTTGTAATCTCAGTGTGTGAAGACGTTAAGTGGACATAATTGATCTCATAATAAGACCACATTGAATAAAATCATAGCTTATGGGCCTCTAATATTTAAGAGTCCAAAGTTTTTATGAGGAAAAAATTTAAACCATCAACTCTGTGAATGCAAAGGGAACAAAACAAAAAAAGAGGGGGGTGGGGGCTCCAAAAGTCATGCAGAGGCTCTGGCTGCGGGAGCTGTCATTAAATGAATAAAAAAACAGCTTTTAGAAAGCTTTTACCTTTCTTGACTTTAAGGGTCCTACGCCAGAGTGTGGAGAAGATGCCGTCCGTCCAGTCATTGGTCGCTGGGTCTAATCGGCCAAACATCTGAGGGGCTGTTATGGCTTTGGGGTTCATGCGCATCTCCCTGTGAGGGCTGCCCATCTCTGTCATGGCCTTCATTAGGACTCGAATACAGCAAGTTTTTCCAGTACCGCTGGGACCCAGTGTCATTATACCGTGTCGGACCCGTTGAGTTTCAAACAGCTATTCAATCAGATAAAGTAACAGAATGTAAAAAAATATTATTTAAAGTTCAATGTCACATTACTATGTGTGTATTATTTAAGGTATTTTAAATGTAATGTTTTGAGGAGGCTATTACATTTTACTCTACAATGTTAAAGAAGAAATTTGTATATTGTTCCACAGGGACATATTGTGGGATGTAACATTATTTTAAAGGGTTACTTTAGTTCTATTAATTTTTATACTTCCCTGAGGATTTTATCAGAATTATTGAGTCATCTTTTTATAAGTTTTATGAAGTTTCTAGATTATTCTAGAAGCTTTCTTTTTTTTCTATATTTTTCTCAGATTATAAAAATGCCATTATCCTGTTTATTATTTTCCAGTCCTATTGGGGAACGGGATCCAACTGATAAAGAGTATCACAATAAAGAATAGATACCAATATGAATGGGATCTCATGGGGAATGGGATCCCACCGGGCAATGGGATCCAACAGGATATCTGAATCCCACCGGTAACGGGATATAACCGTGAATGGGTCGGCTAGTTATTATTACAAATTTTAATTTAAAAATCATCTTTAACTTTGTATCACTTCATTAACAAATTTTGTTAAATTCAAATTGTAAAAAGTGGTCCTCAGTGTAAAATTAGGTAACCCCTCAGTTTGCTACAAATTCTGCTAATTTTTTATTTGTGGTTTATTTTTTACTGATGCAGACTGAAAAAGTTGTCACATGACCAAGATTTGGATGGTCTGTAGAGATGCATGGTAACAAATAAAAACTTCAATAATGAAGCTCCAACATAAAATGTGGTGGTGGGGATGGTGGTGGTAGTGATGGTGTGGTAGTGATGGTTGTGGTGGTGGTGATCATAGTGATGGTGGTGGTGATGGTAGTGATAGTGGTGGTGGTGATAGTATTGGTGATGATAGTGAGGGTGGTGGTGATGGTAGTGGTGGAGGAAGTGATGATGGTGATGATGATGGTGGAAGTGGTAATGATGATGGTGGAGGAAGTGATGGTGATGGCAGTGATGGTGGTGTTGGTAGTGATGGTGGTGGTGATTGTAGAGATGGTGATGATAGAAATGGTGATGATAGTGGTGGAAGTGATAGTGATGGAAGTGATGGTGATGTTAGTGGTGATGCAACGATGGTGGTGGTGATGGTAGTGATTGAAATGGAAGTGATGGTGGTGGTGATGGTAGTGGAGATGGTGGTCATGGAGATAGTGATGGTGGCTGTGATGGTAGTGATATGTGTTTTGATGGTTGTGGTGGTGGTGGGGTTGATGGTTGTGAGGATATTGATGGTGGTGGTGATGGTCGTGGTTGAAGTACCTATAAGATATTAACTAAGCTATTCTATATTCTATTTTGCAAAATGTGGAAACTCAAGCCAGAATCGCCTCCATGTTCACATGTCCATGTAAGCTATGGGACATTTTCAAGCAACACATTTAAAGTACTGAGTAAAACACTAAGAAATGATAATGGAAACAAAATAAATGTGTCAGTGAGCAAACACCTGTACAATTTTGAGATTCCATGCATCATAGTTGATAAGACCTGCTGCTTTGATCTGTTCTTTGAGGTTTCTCTGAAGCTCACCATACGTGGCACTGTCCAAGTTGATGCCCGGGAAAAGGTCAGATATCAAACTCAGGAATAATGGCTCATCTTCATCAACCTTTAAATGTATATGCAATAAATGTATATGTAATAAATGTATATGTCATAAATGGATATGTAATAAATGGATATGTAATAATTGTATATGTAATAAATGGATATGTAATAAATGGATATGTCATAAATGGATATGTAATAAATGTATATGTAATAAATGCATATGTAAAAAATGATATGTAATATATGGATATGTAATAAATGGATATTTAATAAATTGATATGCATAAATGGATATGTAATAAATGCATAATAAATTAATGCATCTTGATCTGAATGTCTTAATTTTTTCAGTCCATTCATTCATCCAAAAGCATGCATGCACACACACAAGCTGATAGAATGTGTTAATGTGTTGTACAATGCACACAAGCTGATAGAATGTGTTAATGTGTTGTACAATGCACACAAGCTGATAGAATGTGTTAATGTGTTGTACAATGTACACAAGCTGATAAAATGTGTTAATGTGTTGTACAATGCACACAAGCTGAAAGAATGTGTTAATGTGTTGTACAATGCACACAAGCTGATAGAATGTGTTAATGTGTTGTACAATGCACACAAGCTGATAGAATGTGTTAATGTGTTGTACAATGCACACAAGCTGAAAGAATGTGTTAATGTGTTGTAAATTGCACACAAGCTGATAGAATGTGTTAATGTGTTGTACAATGCACACAAGCTGATAGAATGTGTTAATGTGTTGTTAAATGCACACAAGCTGATAGAATGTGTTAATGTGTTGTACAATGCACACAAGCTGAAAAAATGTGTTAATGTGTTGTACAATGCACACAAGCTGATAGAATGTGTTAATGTGTTGTACAATGCACACAAGCTGACAGAATGTGTTAATGTGTTGTACAATGCACACAAGCTGAAAGAATGTGTTAATGTTTTGTACAATGCACACAAGCTGATAGAATGTGTTAATGTGTTGTACAATGCACACAAGCTGACAGAATGTGTTAATGTGTTGTACAATGCACACAAGCTGATAGAATGTGTTAATGTGTTGTACAATGCACACAAGCTGACAAAATGTGTTAATGTGTTGTACAATGCACACAAGCTGATAGAATGTGTTAATGTGTTGTACAATGCACACAAGCTGAAAGAATGTGTTAATGTGTTGTACAATGCACACAAGCTGATAGAATGTGTTAATGTGTTGTATAACGCACACAAGCTGATAGAATGTGTTAATGTGTTGTACAATGCACACAAGCTGATAGAATGTGTTAATGTGTTGTACAATGCACACAAGCTGAAAGAATGTGTTGTACAATGTACACAAGCTGATAGAATGTGTTAATGTCTTGTACAATGCACACAAGCTGACAGAATGTGTTAATGTGTTGTACAATGCACACAAGCTGATAGAATGTGTTAATGTGTTGTACAATGCACACAAGCTGACAAAATGTGTTAATGTGTTGTACAATGCACACAAGCTGATAGAATGTGTTAATGTGTTGTACAATGCACACAAGCTGACAAAATGTGTTAATGTGTTGTACAATGCACACAAGCTGATAGAATGTGTTAATGTGTTGTACAATGCACACAAGCTGAAAGAATGTGTTAATGTGTTGTACAATGCACACAAGCTGACAGAATGTGTTAATGTGTTGTACAATGCACACAAGCTGAAAGAATATGTTAATGTGTTGTACAATGCACACAAGCTGATAGAATGTGTTAATGTGTTGTACAATGCACACAAGCTGAAAGAATGTGTTAATGTGTTGTACAATGCACACAAGCTGATAGAATGTGTTAATGTGTTGTACAATGCACACAAGCTGACAAAATGTGTTAATGTGTTGTACAATGCACACAAGCTGATAGAATGTGTTAATGTGTTGTACAATGCACACAAGCTGACAGAATGTGTTAATGTGTTGTACAATGCACACAAGCTGATAGAATGTGTTAATGTGTTGTACAATGCACACAAGCTGACAGAATGTGTTAATGTGTTGTACAATGCACACAAGCTGATATAATGTGTTAATGTGTTGTACAATGCACACAAGCTGATAGAATGTGTTAATGTGTTGTACAAGGCGCCAATGTAACAGCCCTTCTTGCGTATCTACCAGTTTAGATAGGTTCATATCCCTCAAGACTCTCATGACAATTGTGTTCTCAGTGTCCTCCGGCCTTGACCTTTTCTCTGAACCAAGAGTTCGAAGTACCGACAGAATGTTACGCAGTCCAAAATCATAGTGGACCTGATGTGAGTGGTTAAACATTGAGTGGTCAAACATTGAGTGGTCAAACATTGAGTGGTCAAACATTGAGTGGTCAAACATTGAGTGGTCAAACATTAAAAACATAGTTGACCTGATGTGAGTGGTCAAAAATTGAGTGGTCAAACATTGAGTGATCAAACATTGAGTGGTCAAACATTGAGTGGTCAAACATAATGACCTGATGTGATTAGTCAAAATTGAAAATGTAGTGGACCTGATATAAGTGGTCAAACATTGAAATCATATTGGACCTGACGTGAGTCCCTGTTTTTAGTGCTTTAGTCACTTCTTTAAGTGCATTAGTCACTTCTTTAAGTGCTTTTGTCACTTCTGTTAGTGCTTTACTCACTTCTTTTATTACTTTAGTCACTTATTTAAGTGCTTTAGTCACTTCTTTTATTACTTTAGTCACTTCTTTGAGTGCTTTAGTCACTTCTTTTATTGCTTTAGTCACTTATTTAAGTGCTTTAGTCACTTCTTTTATTGCTTTAGTCACTTCTTTGAGTGCTTTAGTCACTTCTTTAAGTGCATTAGTCACTTCTTTAAGTGCTTTTGTCACTTCTGTTAGTGCTTTACTCACTTCTTTTATTACTTTAGTCACTTATTTAAGTGCTTTAGTCACTTCTTTTATTGCTTTAGTCACTTCTTTGAGTGCTTTAGTCACTTCTTTTATTGCTTTAGTCACTTCTTTGAGTGCTTTAGTCACTTCTTTTATTGCTTTAGTCACTTCTTTGAGTGCTTTAGTCACTTCTTTTAGTGCTTTAGTCACTTCTTTTATTGCTTTAGTCACTTCTTTTATTGCTTTAGTCACTTCTTTTATTGCTTTAGTCACTTCTTTGAGTGCTTTAGTCACTTCTTTTATTGCTTTAGTCAAATCTTTTATTGCTTTAGTCACTTCTTTGAGTGCTTTAGTCACTTCTTTTATTGCTTTAGTCACTTCTTTTAGTGCTTTAGTCACATCTTTTAGTGCTTTAGTCACTTCTTTTAGTACTTTAGTCACTACTTTTAGTGCTTTAGTCACTTCTGTTAGTGCTTTAGTCACTTCTTTTATTGCTTTACTCACATCTTTTAGTGCTTTAGTCACATCTTTTAGTGCTTTAGTCACATCTTTTAGTACTTTAGTCACATCTTTTAGTGCTTTAGTCACATCTTTTAGTGCTTTAGTCACATCTTTTATTGCTTTAGTCACTTCTTTTATTACTTTAGTCACTTATTTAAGTGCTCTAGTCACTTCTGTTAGTGCTCTAGTCACATCTTTTAGTGCTTTAGTCACTTCTTTTATTGCTTAAGTCACTTATTTAAGTGCTCTAGTCACTTCTGTTAGTGCTCTAGTCACATCTTTTATTGCTTTAGTCACTTCTTTTATTACTTTAGTCACTTATTTAAGTGCTCTAGTCACTTCTGTTAGTGCTCTAGTCACATCTTTTATTGCTTTAGTCACTTCTTTTATTACTTTAGTCACTTATTTAAGTGCTCTAGTCACTTCTGTTAGTGCTCTAGTCACATCTTTTAGTGCTTTAGTCACTTCTTTTATTGCTTTAGTCACATCTTTTAGTGCTTTAGTCACATCTTTTAGTGCTTTAGTCACTTCTGTTAGTGCTTTACTCACATCTTTTAGTGCTTTAGTCACTTCTTTTAGTGCTTTAGTCATTACTTTTAAGTTAAGAAGGAATTAAAAATATTTTATTTTCAAGAAAACATTTGCCCCGAGTTGTCCAGGAATTTCATTCCTCATTTTAATATATTTTAAACAGATGCAATCTCAACAGACCTGTTTAGACAGCTGCTCTTCACACAGCTTGTAAAGTGTGAAAAACTTCTGTGCCAACACAATGTTCTCAATGAAGCCACAAGAGGCCAGTTTGACTCTCATAATAATCTGTGGATCAAAAAATGGAATAAATTTTTTTTTTTGGCAGCAGGGAAATAGCTGCAGTAGTGTTTTCAAACAAGATGTTTTTCTGAACATCAAATTAAATATTAGATACGCACTACACATTCACTTGTGGAGAATTACTAACGATCACACTCTGAATCTTCTTTGACTAAATTAAATTCCCTTAAAGTCAAGTATCAGAAAGCACATTTAAATCTAACATAAGCCTTTAAAACTTATAATTTTTATGTCAGATTTTAGGCGAGCCTGTAATGGAATGTTCATGGTGCAATAAACTTAAACCCATTTTGCTGCAAGGCAAACACCATTATAGCATATTATGAAGTTATTGTCGACCCTTCTAACAATGATTTTACTGATGTGTTTGACCAAATTAGAAAACAAAACAATGATGACTTCTGGAAATCTCAAGACTTGTTGCCACGCATTTGTAACAATCTTATTCGGATCACAGATCTATTTACATTCTATAGTAACTTATCACCTGTCTGTCAGGGACCATCATGGATACTGTTCTGAACTGTACTTTTAAATTCTCAGGGAGCTCTTGTCTGCCCGCATAGCCAGGATTCTGTGACAACAAGTAATACCAGAAAATGTGAGCTTTGAAAATTACACTTGTGACAAAAAAGATCAAATAGTACTGAGCTTTCTTTACCACCTTAGCCTGATCCTTAGCCTGATACAAAGTTTTTTAAAAATATTTTAAAAGGGATGGATTTAGTTCTTAAGCAAAGTTTTCTTAAGCAAAGTTCTTAATTTAAAACAAAAAAGAAAGAAAGAATATCTATGATGGAAGAGAGATTTCTGATGTGTCACAAAACAGTACATCAACAATTGCCATAAGAGTAATGTTACTTTTACAACAGCGGTGCTCAATTGAAAACTCTATGTCAACCTAAACTTAAGTTAAAAAATAGTGGGGAAATAAACTAGAGAGGGACTTCTTGATGCTTGCCATCGTTAGAAATATCCCAAACTCAGGATTCAGGGACACACGGTCGCCATCTGTGAAAATGAAGTCTTTCTTCTTCTCTTTCTTGGCTGACAGCACGATGTAGATTTGCTGGGCGGCAACAGACAGGACTGGGAGGTCAATACGATTAAATTCATCAAAGCAGCCCCAAGCTCCAGACTGAGCCAGTCCTGAAGAGAACAACAAGAGTTGGTATTTGCTTATTGTGCAAAATATTGAGCAACTGACAAAAATTCTTTTTTTTTTTTTTTTTTTAAATTTTGAAAATTTTCTTTTATTATTAGAATACTTTGATATCGTATTTTAAATTAAAATCAACATTACAATAGAAACATTTTTAAATGCACAGTTAAAGACTTTTCAGTTCTTAACTGGGATGAGACATGTTTCACACACCATAATATGGAGTAACAAACATTTTTGAAAGCATTGAAAATAAAACCCAGGCAGAGATGATTTTAAAGTCTGTAAAATAAAATCCAGGCAGAGATGATTTTCAAGCCTTAAAAGTTAAAAGCCAGAGAGAGGTGATATTAAAGTCTGGAAAATAAAACCCAAGCAAAGATGATATGAAAGTCTGGAAAATAAAACCCAAGCAAAGATGATATGAAAGTCTGGAAAATAAAACCCTGGCAAAGATGATATGAAAGTCTGGAAAATAAAACCCAGGCAAAGATGATATGAAAGTCTGGAAAATAAAACCCAGGCAAAGATGATATGAAAGTCTGGAAAATAAAACCCTGGCAAAGATGATATGAAAGTCTTGTAATCCAAATTATTATATATATATGCTGAAATAAAAGACAATAACTTAAAGCAGATGATGAACAAAGGTCAGTAATGGATAAAGTACCAACCTTTATAAATACGGCCAAGACCCCTGAAGTCCATCTGATCAGAACAGTTGAACACAACCACATACTTTCCAAGGCATCGACCCATGTCTTTGGTGGTCTCCGTCTTGCCAGTTCCTGCCGGACCTGCTGGTGCACCACCCATGGACATCCACAGGGCCTGTGCTAGAGTTATGTAGCACCTGACAATAACAAAGCAATAATGTGTGGAGAACTCATGCCAAACTATGGGGGGAAAAATGAATGACAAAACTGAACAACTTATTCCATCATTTAGCAAGCTTTCTGTCATGTAGCAAGCTTTCTGTCATGTAGCAAACCTTATGTCATGTAGCAAACCTTTTGTCATGTAGCTAGCTTTCTGTCATGACGCAGATGTTTAGTCAAGATGCCATCATGGGAAACTGAACTATTACAAAAGTTTGCAATAGCCTTGAGTGGTCTCTCTTTACCCCCTAGTAAAGCTACCCCACATCTCTTAGTAAAGCTACCCCACATCCCTTGGTAAAGCTACCCCACATCCCCTAGTAAAGCTACCCCACATCCCCTAGTAAAGCTACCCCACATCCCCTAGTAAAGCTACCCCACATCTCTTAGTAAAGCTACCCCACATCCCCTAGTAAAGCTACCCCACATCCCCTAGTATAGCTACCCCACACCCCCTAGTAAAGCTACCCCACACCCCCTAGTAAAGCTACCCCACACCCCCTAGTAAAGCTACCCCAC